CTTATCCAGGGGACCACTGAGAAGTTGATTTCACTGAGGTAACCCTGACTGTGGGGGGCTACAAATATTTACTTGTTTTTATAGACACCTTTTCAGGATGGGTAGAGGCCTTCCGACCAGGAAAGAAACTGCCTTAGTAGTTACTAAGAAACTACTACAAGAAATCTTCCCTTGATTTGGTCTCCCCGGAACTTTAGGGTCAGATAGCGGGCCAGCCTTCATAGCAAAGATATCACAACAATTGGCTAGCTACCTAAATTTTCATGGAAACTCCACTGTGTCTACCAGCCCCAAAGTTCGGGCCAAGTAGAGCGAATGAATCGGACCCTAAAAGAGACATTAGTCAAGTTAGGATTAGAAACTGGTGGGACCTGGGTAGAACTTCTCCCCTTTGCTCTTCTCCAAGCCAGGTGTACTCCATATATGAATGGATTCACCCCATTTGAAATTTTCTTTGGAAAATTCCCACCTTTAGTACCTAGAATAGAAGACGAGAAAAAGGCAGAACTACGTTACCTTGTCTTAAGTCTTTACCGGCCCTTCAAAGTGCATAGAAGAAGATTTAGTCCTGGGTTCGTGCTGCCCACTCAGCCCCAGGGGACAGACTTCCCCATCAGTTTCAGCCTGGGGACTCTGTGTGGTTCCGGAAGTTCACTTACAAAATACTAGAACCCAAATGGAAAGGACCCTTCACTGTCTACCTGACGACGCCCACTGCAGTTAAAGTAGACGGCATCCCATCATAGATTCATCACTCCCACTTGAAGGCAGCATGAGAGTGGACAGCTCAGGAAGACGGGACCTTAAGACTAAGACTCAAGCATACATAAGTCTAACCCTGTGTTTCTTCCGTTTTTCCTCTTTAGCCCAGGCATTCAACCAGCCACAACCAAAACCAGAAGGAGCATTAATAACTTTGCTAATGATAATACACAAGGTCTTAAATAAGACCATCCCAGACATAGGACAAGATTGCTGGTTGTGCCTAAACCCAAAACCCCTTTCTTATGTCAGGGTAGGAACTCCTCTAAACTTAATTGAGCTCGGCAGGCTAGAACTTCAAGTCGATTCACTAGCAGAAGTAGTCCTCCAAAATAGAAGAGGTTTAGATTTATTATTCTTAAAACAAGATGGATTATGTATGGCTCTAGGTGAAACCTGTTGCTTCTATGCCAATAACTCTAGAATAATTAGAGAAAGTTTACTACTAGTACAGAGAAATTTAGATGCCAGGGAAAAACAGAGATTAGAATCAAATAACTGGTTTCACAGGATGTTCAGTTGGTCACCATGGCTAACAACCCTCCTATCTGCTGTAGCTAGACCTTTAATCATCCTCTTCCTCTTGTTAACTTTTGGCCCATGTTTAAGAGAATTAATTCTATTAAACTTTTAGTATTACAAAATAGAAGCTATGAGCAAATTCTGCGAGAAGAATCAAGGATTTGATTTTTTGCTAAGGCCAGTGGGGAATGTTCTGGCTGGAAAATTACTGCTTGGCTATCACCCATGGGAACATGGGTTATCACTCATGGGAACATAACATTCTAACAATAAGCTTTCTGCTTCTGTACCCCCACTTGCACAACCGACCTGTGGGTTGACAGTTAGTAAATAGAAGAAAAATAGACTTTTGTTTTGTGTTCAGACAGAATGAGGAATGGGGTTTAGGGCTTAAAAACCCCGTACCTCTACATTTCAGGGCTGCTTAATTTGGGTTCTGCGTACCCCTGGCATACCCAGCTGGCTGAATAAAAAGTGTGTTTCCTATAACTCACTGGTTTCTGGCGGTCCGTGTGTCTATGGGGGGCTGGCGGCTTCAACAAGTGCATTCAGGCTTTACTGACTAAGTAAGTGTGGACTTTGAAAAAGAAGGAAGTCAAGGATAACACAAAGACTTTTGACCTGAGCAACATGAAGAATGGAGTTACCTGTTCTTTAAGTAAGAAAGACAGCAAAGGTAGAATGTCAGGAGATTGGTTTAGACACATTAAGTGTGAGTGTGAGATGTTTATGTAGTCTCTAGGCAACTAGATACATCAGTCTGAAGTTCAGGAAAGAGGAGCAGATTGCAACTCCCAATTTTGGAATTGATAGTATATAGATGGCATTTAAAGCCATAGGACTAAATGAGATCACCCAGAAAGGATTATAGATAGTGAAAGAAATCAAATGGTTGCTGGATATATTTTGTGGTTAGAGTTGACAGGATTTACTAGCAGTTTAAATGTAAGTGTAAAAGGTAAGATTCAAGGATGACTCCAAGAATTTTTTGGGAACAAAATGAAGCTATTGATGGACTGATCCTGGGTCTCTCCAATATTGGAGATAATGAGAAATCAGCAAACTAGACTGAGAAGAAATGGTTAGAAAGGAAGGAGTCAAGCCAGGGACATATGATGTCTTAGAGTCTAAGTGAAGAAAGTATTTCGTGGAGCAAGCAATAGTCCTTGCAAGCTACTAGATTAATGTGAAAACTGAGAAGTGACAATTGGATTTCACATGATGGAGCTCATGATCAATTGTACTTGAAGCAGTGTTGATTGAGAGAGGTGATGAGACCAGGGGAATGATGGGAATTGCTTTAAGGGAGAACGGAGGAAGAAAAATTGTAGAGTTTATAAGATTATGGGTAACTACAAGGAGTTTTGCTGTAAAGAAATGAGGCAATGGTTATAGGGGCAGTGTGTTTGTTTATTTTTAGGATGGACAAATGCTAGTGTGGGCACCAGGCCTGGCTGAATACAAGGACTGGCTGGTCCAAGGTCTGGCTGTGATCCAGGCCCACATCTAGGAATAGGACCTCGGATTTAGAATGTTATGTAAACATAATTCAGCTTGTTGTATCATACATGTGTGGCTGAATGCCACTATTGTACTCTGATCTGTGTGGAGCCATGTGGTTCCCTGGGGAGCAGAAGGGGAGCACAAGAAGCAGAGCAGAAGAAGTGTGAGCATTACCACGCTTCCCCCAATAGACTGCACTTCCCCCAATAGAACTGCGCTCCGCACAATAAAGTTGGCGCCTGCCATTTCATTCTCATGTCAGCCCCTCGAGCGTTCTTCCAACTGGGCGTCTCACCATCGAACCTTCCATTCTTGACCAGCTCGGTGCTGACAGCTAACATGTATTTATGATAATAAGAATGGTCAACAGAGAGAGAACTTTAAACACACATGAGGAAGCAGAGGAGAGGGGTATGCTGAAGCAAGTCCATGGGTAGGCTACAGAGGATGAGTTCTAGTACACAAGAGAAGTGCCGGCCTTTGCTAGAAACATAGACATATCATAAAACGAACAGGGAATACAGTAAAATATTTTTTGGCAAGGTATAGGTAGGTAGGTCCTGGGATTCTGCAGAATTTCTCTTTGGATTAATTCTCTTTTCTCAATTAATTAGGAAACTAGGTCACAAGTCAACAATGAGAGATGCGAAATGGTCAAGAAAAGTGTGAGTGTGAATGGATGAGAAAAATATCAAAGGATCATTGGGAAGCATACCAATCCACTTCAGGCAAATTTTCATGAAATAAAAGTGAGACAAGACCGTATGGCTTTGTTCTTTTATATTTTTCTTTAGTCACATTCAGTGGCTCAGGGCAGACAAGTTTAGGTGGAAGTTTTAGATTTAAGTAGGGCTGTAGTTTAAACAGAGTAGAAAAAGAATGGGGCAAATGTATTGAAGGTCTATGCATGGGAGTGGTGATAATAACTAGCAGAGGAATTTATCTAGGTAAGTAGGTTAGTGAGATTAGAGTCGGGTGGCGAAGGTCAGTGAAAGGTGGCAAAATGAATGGACTCTAGGACCAACGAACGGGAAGGATTTTTGGAGTTTTGTGATGAGAGAAAATGAGCTGGAATATGAGAGATGGTGTTAAAAAGTATGTTTCAAATTGAGATTATGGAGGGATCTCGGTGATTTTTAGAGATGGGTTGTATCATGTGAATAATATTGGCAGAGGCTGGGGGTATGCCAGACAGCAAGATAACTGGAGGAGATCCATTCGCACCACAAGGAAGGTAAATCTGTTTGCAAAGTTCAAGCCATTAGGTCTATCTTTGAAGGAGACGGTGCTATTGGTAAGAAAGTTGTTAGGTTTCTACCCGAAGGCTTGCAATCTAACAGGAAGACTGAGTGTGGCAGTCAGTTTAAGATCTTAAGTGAGAATCTGGGTCTCGGTGCCCCTGAGACTGGGTCCAAACCGAAGCGGCTCCAGGACCTGGGCGTTGCCAGGCAACCAAGTCTGGAGCGTTATTTCAGGCAAGCAGCCCAGCCCATTTCTAGTCATTGGCCCACTTCCTGCCTCTGGCCTACTTCCGTCTCCGGATGCTTCATCTCAGAGACTGGGGCGGGAACTTGGCCAGGGTGTTTGTGAACCTGGGGGTCAGCAGCGGGGGCGTTGGGACGGTTAGGAATCCCAGGGAAATCCTGATAGGACTCAAGGGTCGTGTCCTATGTTGCCATGAAGAAGCTTTTTACATTCTGGAAAAGGAAGAATGAGCCCCACAGCTCCTCCTCACACCGGTCTGTAGGCCGGGCCAGTACTGGTCCGCCCACCTACCTGGGCTACAACCTCCGGGATAAGGATTTAAAGAAACTTCATAAAGCTGCCGCAGTCGGGGACTTGGAGAAGGTGAAGAAGTATCTCCAAAAACATGATGTCAACATTCGGGACAGAGAACACAGGTGACCAGAGTAACAAAGGGCAGCGTGAAGGAAAAATTAGGGCCGCTGGGCCACTGAGTCTTCCAGCTAGAAACAGGACTTGTCTGGGCTACCGGACTGGTTGTCACTGCAGGTTTCCATACAGGAGAGGTCTGGTGACTTTCGGCAGAGAATCGCACTCCCTACTTTCAGCTTATCTTTAAAATGCTTATCTGGATATTTGAGGGCATTTAAATGTGTCTGCTCTGATTCCCTCCATTCCTCCTATTGCCTTAATCTCCACTGGGCCCGCCACCCTTTTCCCATCCTGCTATATATTTTTTTCTTCTTCTCTGTAGAGTACATTGTCCCCAGCCACCTAAGATTTACCATGCTACTAAAGTACTGATAGGAAAAAACTAGAGGCGATATCCCAGAACAGTGGTTATTAAGATTTTGAGACTTTGAAACAGCAAAACAATTAACTTTTTAATGTGAGTCTTCTGAGAATTTTTTATTTCAATTGCAGGATATTAAAAAAGAAAAACAACACCACTTACTACAAAAAAAATAATTTTATATATTAAGAAACTAAGAAGTTATGTGTTTAGCATTAATAACAGAAAATATGTACTATCTGTGCCTACCTGAAAATCTTTCAGGGACTTTTTAAGTCATAGGGTATGAGAAGTGTCATCTTTCATCACAATTGGGTAACTTAGAATAGGATTTGTGTCAGCTAGCTGATAGTTTCACCTTTTAACAAGAACAGAGTTACCTAATTTATCTTTATTCTTATACCACTTCATTGAATTACTTTACAAGGTCATGGATAACCTTAATATGACTTTATACAGTGGTCATTTCTGTCTTACCCGGTTGGCATCTCAGCCAGGTATCTTACTTGCTCTATCAGTAGTATTTGAAATATTGTCTTATCTTTTAGGGCATTTGGTTTATTTGGCATTTCTTCTGCTTCTGTGGATACTTCAGACTTCTTCGCTGAGATCTCATCTTCTTGACTGATAAAAATTTGGGCGCTCCAGCCGTGAATTGATATTCATTCTCTCTCTCTCCTTGCCTGGTGAAGAGAGATTCACTTTAAATATCTATATTCCAGTCGTTCAACTTTTTATTTCCAGCTAGACCTCTCCCCTGAACTCTAGACTCACATACATAAATGCTTATACTTCCACTCGGATATCTAACAGGCTGTGAGTATGCTGCTGAACAGGCTCGTGGAAGGGTGGGAGGGAAAGGGAGGAAAATCCCTGATTTCAAGCTACCAATGTGATGTTAACTGGTTCCAGTGTTTCCTGAAAATTTAACAATTGGCTTGTAAAAGCCACTGGCTTCATTGCACCACTGATCAGGTATCTCAAACATCCCTAAACTGCATTCCTGTTATTCTTCCTCAGATTTGCTCTTATTCTATGAATGCCAAATTCTTTCTTACAGTTGTTTAGGCCAGAAACCCAAGTCATTTTTGACTCCTCTCATTCTTTTACATCCTGATTCAACCACAAATCTTCTTGGCTCTACCTTCAAAATATAACTAAAATCCAACCATTTCTTGCCAGTTTCACAGTTATCACCCTAATCAAAACCATTGTCATGTCTTAACCAGAATTACAGGTCTTCCAGCTAGTTTTCTTTCTTTTTTTAAAAAATTTTTATTATTATTATGTTTTTAGGTGAGGCCACCCTTGATTGACCTCACAGATTGCAAGGACCTTGTCAGCTTACAATCCCTTACTTTTTATTTTTTATGCTTACAGCACCTGGTCTTCCTGGGTGGTCTCCCATCCAAGTACTAACCAGGCCCGACCCTGTTTAGCTTCTGAGATCAGACAGGATCGGGCTTGTTCAAGGTGGCATGGCCGTAGACTAGTTTTCTATTTTTTAAACTTTTTAGTTCATTCTCGACACAACCCAAATGACCATGGTTGTATAAAATATATGTCAAATGATGTCATTTCTTGCCTTAACAACTTCCGCTGGCTTTCCATCCCTTTAAGGGTAAAAGCCAAAATCCTTCCAATGGCTCATACAGCCCTACATCACCTTCACCTCCACCCTGTTATCTTTCTGATCTTACCTCCTATAACTCTCCCTTTCATTCATCTCCAGCTACCCTGGCCTCCTTAGTGTTCCAAAGAAGTGCCAGAAATGCATTGAGGCCTTTGGACTTGCTATTCACTTTGCCTAGAGGGCTTTCCCCACAGATATTCATATGGGTTGCTCTCATTTCCTTCAGGTGTTCATCACCTTCTTAGTGAGGGCTTCTTTGGCTGCTCCACCTACAACTGTAGCCCCCCTCCTTGCTGACGCTTCCTACCCTTCTTCCCTGCCTGACTTTTCTCTTTAGCACTTAATACTGGTATACTTCATATTTTAAGTTTGTGTTTACCTCTTCTGTTAGCATGTATGATTCATAAGAGCAGGTATTTTTGTCTGTTTTGTTTGCTGCTGTATCCTCCCTCATCATCTAGAACCCTGCCTAGCCAAGGTATGTGCTTAACATTTTTTGATAAATGAATACATACATCCATACATAGATAAATATAATTTAAAGATACTATTCAGCAATAAAAGGATATCTTTTATTAATAAAAAGAAAAGAATGAATAACTGATACATGTAACAAAGTGGATGAATTTTTAAAGTGTTATTGCTAAGTGAAAGAAGCCAGACACACAAGATTATATATTGAATGAATTTATTTATATAAAATTCTAGAAAAGGCAAAAGGATAGCCACAGAAAGCATATTAGTTTTTTTAATTACCTGGGGTTTGAGATGAGGAGGAGGAGAAGGAGATTGATTGTAAAGTGCTCGATGAAACTTTTTAGAGTGGTGGAAATGTTTATTATGATTACGGTGGTGCTCATATGACTGTATATTGGTCAAAACTCATAAAATTGTACACTTAAATTTTTGTATATAAATTATACCTCAGTTAAGATGAATAACAAATCTCAAATATATATTATATTTGAATATTTATATGTGTGTGGAGAAAGATTGAGAATGAGAGATAACATTTGAAAGGGCACATACTAAAATTAAAAATTACTTTTTCTGAGGAGGAGATGAGATCTGGGCAAGGTGAAGTAGGTAGAGTGAGCATGATCATTGGAGACTTGCTTTATGTTGCTTAAATTTTTTAAAAGGTAGATTATAGTGTTTTATAGAATGTTTCATAAACATTTTAGAAGCATTGTGTTAAATGTCTCTGGTAACTCATGTAAGTATATGTACATATTAATAATGGCCTTATGGAGATAATATTCTAAATATGTTTTCTATTAAAAATAATGATACTAAAAGTGAGTATTTCTGGTTAGGAGAGAATGGGAGAAACATCATGACAGTTTATGAGCAGGTTGTTCTGGCCCATAGTGGCCCAATAGGAAGAACACTATTTTGAGAATAAAGATCTGAATTTGAGGCCTGCTCTGCAGTTGTATAACTTTAACCCTAAATCTCTTCATTTGTAAAATCAGAGCTATTACTAGATTAGTGTTCTTTAAACCAAGCTCTGCAAAGCCCTGTTGCAAGATACTTGTTTTTAAACCAAAGTAACTCTCTGTTAATATGTTTTTCTTATTTGGCTTCTATTTATGTTTACATTTCAAGAGTATTGTGCCTAATAAATTTGAAAATGAACAGGAGATGTTTATTTATGCCAGCTATAAAATGAAATTACTGTTATGGTTTTTAATAAAAAGTTCCTCAGATCATATATATCTGATAGGTGAAGGCTCAATTTCAAACTAATACTTGTAGTCACACTACTCAGACCTAGATTTAAACTGCCCAGCCTAGAGTTGAAAATAATTTAATGATCTAGTATGAAGTAGCTTCCTGACTTTTCTCTTTAGCACTGAATTCTAGCACTTGGTTCTTCTTCACCTACTGTGGATTCTAAGTTATGAAGAGCCTTTAGTCAGTTCATACAAAAGGGTATTGTCATGATAAGACCTAATTGAAGATTGCAGCTATGTTCTGGTCCTGCTCTGTCTAGTGGATAACACTTTTCATACCAGCTTCCATAGTAATAATCCATACTCCACCCGAGTCATGCCTTTGGCTAAAGTTCAGTTAGAGATTTCTAGACTCTGACAGTTCTTCACCTGTCCACAGTCTATGTTGACAGTTCTTTTACTGGTATTTGAGAGAATGAGAGACTGGGAGAAAACTGAAATTGAATGAAATGAAATGATACCAGCTAGCTTGAATCTCTAGAAATAAACACTAGGCCCCACAGGGATTTAGATTTCTTGTAAGATAAGTACTATGAGTTAAAAAGTAACAATATAAACTAATTTATATTATAAAAATTAGATTGGAAATATAATACATTATATAATACAAGTTAAGGATTTTTGAGAAATGGAATTTTTTGGTTTTAAAGTGTTTCTCCAAGATATTTGTAAATATACATTTTTGCATTCGACCATTTCAAGAAATAGAATGGTTTTTGTTTTTGACATTAGATGAAGACACATTAATATTGCCTCAAAGCATTTACTTTGTGTAAACATTTGGTAAATGGCTGTAACACAGATATCATTAACTGCATATCCCAATTGTGAGTTCTAGAATTTAAGAATCAGTTAAATCTAAAACTTGAAATGAAATGAAGGCAAATCTTAAATCTGTATGTTCTTAAGGTACTTTGTCTTTTTAAACCAGGGTATCTCATTTAATAGGGTGCCAAATATTTTGAGTAAGGGTCTTTATAAGAGTGTCTTGAAGGTTTGAGTGATATTGTAAGCTTTGTGCTTCAGGCATGCTCAAGATAGATTAGTCTTGTTTTTAGATTTTGTGTAAAAGACCACAGGACTATATTACCCAGTAATTCCTTAGAAAGCTAACCTTTTCATAGCTATTTTATTTTGTTGAATTTGTGGCTGATTTCCTATATCCCTTGGGGCATACAGATGGACTCTGAGATTTTTATAAAAGCTTTAATTATCACAGTGGGGTTTCAACTTTAATTAGAAGAATGAAATTATCCAGCAGGCATGTGGCAGCCACTTTGGCAAGACCTACTGAAAATTACCCAAATGCCATTTACTTTCTCTTGGAGCAGGGTTTTCTTTTCTTTTTTTTTTTTCCTTTTTTTTTAATGCCAGTTTATTTTTTTCATACTATATATACATAATTTGTTAAAACATTTTATTGTTTTATTCTCCCCCCTTCCCTCTCCCCTCTGGTAACCACTATTCCATTGTCCATGTCCATGAATCTCTGTTTGTTTGTCCTGTTCATTTGTTGCTTTTAGGTTTATATCCCACATATAAGTGATATCATGTGATTTTTAACCTTTTCTGTCTGGCTTATTTCACCTTTTTCTTTTTAAATTAATGAAAAAAGAGATCTGCAGTTGGAAAGAGAGGTCGATCTAAAGATCCAGTAAAAGTCACCTAAATTCCTTGGGACTAAATTCTTGAGATATGTATAATAGTGGATGGAGAAAATGGTTCAAAGTATTTACCAGGATTTGCTAAACTACTGCAAGGAGTTCTTTTAGATGGGCTTAAAGTTGTTTGGCCCTGTGTGTTTGGGTTGAGGGCTGGACAAACTTCCTATAATGCAAGTAATAATTTAGTAAAAAGCAATTATAATTAATGTGAATTTTGTTTCAATATATCTTAATAATATATGATCTGGCATGTTTTTGAATAGAGTAAGTAACTTCTCAAACTAAGACTTACCTCTAACTTTGTGTTTTGTTATATTGCTATAGAACACCTTTGCACCTGGCCTGTGCTTATGGATATTCGAATGTTGTATCTCTCTTAATTGAGAAACAATGCAAAATAAATGTCTGGGATAGTGAAAACAGATCTCCATTGACTAAGGTATGCTAATTTTTTCTTTTCAATTGGAATGCACTTGAGTTTTTTTCTTAGTTAACTTTTGTTGAATTCCATATTTTAAAACATAATATAAACATTAGTTTAATATAACATATCCTGAGTAGTAAGTTGGTTACTCAACTATTGTTGTTGCACTGACAGGCAGTCCAGTGTGAAAAGGAGAGCTGTGCTACCCTTCTCCTAGACCAAGGCGCAGACCCGGACCTGGTGGACCTAGATGGCAACACTGCTCTTCACTACGCTGTCTGTGGTCACAGCACCTCCTTAGTCAGAATACTGCTTCAGCACAAAGCTAATCTTGAAGCTCAAAATAAGGTAGTCTTCTACTAAAGCAGCACATTATATTTTAGAAGGCAATGGAAGAAATTCATTGCAGATAATTCACATCTGTTGAAACACATGCTATATAAAGTATGAATTTTCCAAAATGAAATTAGGGAGAAGAAGAAGAAAGAGATTATCAAATACTGATAGTTTTCCTTTTTTAAAAGTCTTTTTCCAACTTACTTCAGATTATAATCCTGACTTCCAAAGCAACATCACATTTTACAGTGGTAACTGTTCAGAGGCCTATATCAAATGATAAATATTTGATTTTCCTATAAATGACTATTGAATAAAAATCATAAAGCCTACATTTTTTTCTATTTATGTACTTATGAATAATAATAAGAATAGGGTTGAATTAAAAAATCACAATACTAAAAGTAATCCAACTCTATTGAGACATATGGAAAACTGATGAATATTTTTTAAAGCTTCTTAACACTTTAATTCACTGATATTTTGTCTATAAGACAACCTAAGGTTTAAATGAAGCCCTATGGAAATTCAGTTGTAACAGTATTATGAAATGTGAATGTATGGTTTGCAATACTTACATTAAGTGCTAGCTGCTCGTCATTTAAATAATCCAGACTGCTTTTGCCCGCAATTTGAGTTAAGCCTGAAGTTGAAACTTTAATTTTGTTTTTGACCGGCCCAACTCCAATCATTTTCTTGGTCTTTGAAATCATATTTTGTTATGTATCAAAATCTTTTAAAAATTAAAGTTTACATCAGAGGTTTATTATAAGAACACTTATCTTTTAAATTGAACTTAAATCTAAAAGGCATGTTAATAGTTGGTACAATATTTTAAATAATCATTTTGAAATAATTTTTTCAGGATGGGTACACTCCACTTTTACTTGCCATTGCTGAAAATAAAGCAGAAATGGTAGAATTTCTTCTGAAGAGAGGGGCAGATGTGAATGCTTCAGATAACAATCAGAGGTATAATTAATGCTAAATAAGAACATATAACTAAAGCTACCTAACAGGAGATACATAAACATATATGTTGCTGCTGTTGTTGCTGGAAAAAGTTCTGGCTATGTGATTTGGGGCAAATTACCTAGAGTCTTGAGATCTGTTTTTCTGTAAAATCAAACAGTTGGACCAGATTAATAAATTATTACTATTATTATTTTTTATAACATTAGAATCTTACACAGAAACTCAGTCTCTAAGTCCTAGATGCTGTCGTTAAGGGGGAGCAGAGGGTACCCAGAGGGCTAGACACATCCCTCCAAAGCATTTTGAGACATCTCCTTGAAGACACCAGGGTCTCGAGGAGCAGGGATGGAATACCGTTGAGCTAGCTGCTTCCTACGGACTCTTTATCTTTAGACTCCATGATGTGATCTGGGATTGGCACATCTTTTTGGGCAGATCTGCCCCACTTTTTACATTCTTGCCCTGACTCTTTTTCTGATAGAGATTATGCATTTGAACAGTAAGTTTCAAAGACTGACTTAAAAACAAGTATAAGACCTGTTTAAAATCCATAAATAGACATTTATATCTCTTGCTCCAGAACAGCCCTTATGATTGCTCTAAGTGAGGAACCAACGAGTTTAGTCAGTCTTCTTCTTCAGCAAGAAGTGGACCTATCTTGCCGAGATATTTATGGATTCACAGCTGAGGAATATGCTTCTTTTAATGGTTTTACTATGTAAGTGATACCGCATCTCTTTTAACAAGTATGTGGAATTTGATCTTAAGAAAAGAAACGTGATCCCCAAAATACAAAGCTGGAATAGACTCTGCAGTAGGAATGACCACATTATAAACTGTGGTCCCACGAGCCAGGGATGCTTGCTTTCAGTTTGTAGGGGCCAGTCAAGATAAGAACTACAGGTAGACGGAGTCTACAGATTAACTCCCAGTGGTGTTGCAATTTGAATTATGCCAGAACAAGGATTCCAGCAACTTGTGACATAGCCACTAATGAAATGTCTGGGCGGTAGGGTTGGACAAACTATGACTAATCTACACAAATTCCTTTCATTGTCTTTATTTATTAGTAATGTAATAAGTATGTTCTCATTAACCCAAAAGATAAAACTTCATGTATGAACATGTATTTTTTATTTTAACAGTCAATGAGAAAATAAGATGCAATGAATAGGCAAAATAATTTTTTTCCCTGTTTTTGCAACGAGAACTAAGTTTCCTGTAATTGTGATTTTTGTTGCTTGAGTAGCTGTTACCTCTGCTTCTCAGTGTCATTTGTTAGCTCTCTTTCAATTTCTATGGTTTATTACGAGTGGAAACATAGAAAATGTTTCTCAGATAGTTTTTAAAAAATAAGTGAAACTGTGTCAAGTAGGATATTATATTTAGATATTTTACATTTAGCTTTAATCCATACATTGCCTCATTTCTTTTACTGACATTCTGAAACTATATACCTGTTAATGAGTAACTAGAATGGGCTCTTTTCATGCATGGAGATAAGCTTTATTCTTTACAGGATATGTTGCAGTCTGAATTAATTGTCTTCGCTTGTTATGAGCTTAATTGTATATCCCCCCTCCCCCCTCCGGCCCACCCCTTCTCCACCCCACTGAATTCATGCGTTACCTCAGTACCTCAGAATTCGTTTGGAGAAAGGGCTTTTAAAAGGTCTTAAGTTAAAATGTGCATCAGGGCTCTAATCCTATTTGACTGGCATCCTTGTTAGAGGGGAAGATTAGGACACATGAAAGACACCAGAGGTGCTCATGCACAGAGGGACAACTTATGTGAAGAGGCAGCAAGAGGACAGTCATTTACTAGCCAAGGAAAGAAATCTGATCATTTCCTTTTGGCCTTAGAGGAAACCAGCCCTGTTGGCACCTTGATCTTGGACTTCCAGCCTCCAGAATTGTGAGAAAATAAGCTTCTGTAGTTTAAGTTACCCAGTCTGGTGTTTTGTTATGGCAGCCCTAACAAACTAATAATCTAAAAATATCCCAAAGGCATTTTTTCTACCTTGCTAATGGCTTATTTGTGATAGGAAGAAGTGCTAGAGAAAGAGAGCACATACATAAAAATTGTGTCTGTTGATGGAGTTGGCTTGAGAGGAAACTTGAGTTCAGCTGCCAGTGGGTGACATATTTGGAAAGGCGTTAACTAATGTCTAAGGCTTTAATTTGATAAATAGGTATTGAATTAATTATTTATGAATGCTGTTGTTCACATATATTTTCTTTTTATGGGTAGGTATCATCAATTAATTGCTAATTACAGGAAGGAGAAAAAAATTAAAAAGCTGTCTAATTGAAGATACAACCTGAGATAGTACATTTGATACAGAAGAACTAAAAGAAGGTAAGAAGATAGAAACTGAACAAGTAGTTTTTCTTGTTGGTTTTTGTTTATCTTCTAGGAAGGAACACAGATTTCTTAAGTAATATTTACTTAAGAATTTGAAATTGAGATTTTCTATTTTGAAATGCTAAATATTTTTAAGAACTGTTTTAAAAAATATTTGTGATTAAAATATTCTGGCACTGTGTTTACTGAAAATGTAGTGTAAAGATATACTGAGTGATTAAGGTAATTTTTATCCTTAGTCTCTTGACTACTTATAAAAAAATAGATTTTTGTATTATGTAAAGATTTTAATAGATATAAAACTATTAGTAAAGTTATTCTGAAAACACTTCAGATAAGTACATTTATTTGATAGATAATATAATAATAAACCTAAGCATTACATAAAAGTTAAATTAAGGAACAGTGTTTGTGAAGAATTAAAAATATCATGCATCTATTAAAATAATTTTTGGTGCTTATTTTCAAAAATGCATATAAAATAAGCTTTTTTTGGTGAATACGTCTTACACTGACTTTTTGTTATTATTGGATGAAATAATATTTGTACAATTATTTTCTGCACTCATCAGCAACAACATTCCTACTCCTATCCCTCATCTATGGTGTAAAAAAGAAAATGGGGTGGGGAGGAGAAGAGAAGGAAGCCTGATGGTGGCAGGAGATCCTGTAAATGTCACAACTATTTAAATGTCCTCTGTCTCCTTGAGTCTATAGTTATGATACTTAGAACAATGCTTGGCTCTATTGACTTGAGGTGAGTAAATTTAAGAGAGAATTTCCTTGAATTACTTTTTTTGTACTTTATATGGACATAACACTTTTATTTCTCTTGGGAAAATATCAAGGAGTGCAGTTGCTAAATCACATGTGTTTGTTTAACTTCTTAAGAAACTGCCAAACTCTTTTTCATAGTGGTTGGCCCATTTCACATTCCCATCACCAGTGTGTGAGTCCCAGTTGCTCCATTCACTATTACATGGTGTGGGAGGTTTTTATTTAATTGTAATAAAATACACATAACATAAAATTTACCATTTTAACCATTTTTAAGTATAGAGTTCAGTGGCATTAAGTATATTCACAATGTTGTGCAACTATCACCACTGTTTCCAAATATTTTCATCATCCCAAACAGAAACTCTGTACCCGTTGAGCAATAACTCTCCATTCTCCCTCCCCCGACTTTCCCCAGCCCCTGATAGCCTCTATTATGGGAAATATTTTTTAATTTAGTCACCTGAATTCTTCTTTTGTAACTGAATCTCACATTCTCTTTTAAGAAAGTTTGTTTTTCTGGACTCTTGATCTACATCATTATATATTCCTCTCCTATCATATCTCTCTCCCTCCCTCCTTCCTTCCCTCCCCCCGCACCCACAGATATAAGAAATAAAGAATTTCTGTGGCTTATACTTTAAAACCACCCTCAACCCTTTACCCATGGTAATATATGTTTCTGATTTCTAGTGAAATATTAACCTTTGTGTGTTTCAAAGCATAATAGAAATATTGGGTCAAGAAAATTACCAAAAGATGCTGTAAAAGATGGTAAACTTAAAAAGTTATATTTCTGCCAGATTCAAAGGGGATAATTATTCCTTTTTTAAAATGTCTATAAAATGCAGAAGTATCAATGCTAAATTATAATTTGATATAGCTGAGGAATAGAATTTAAGAAATGTACTTAGGACTAAAAATGTTTGAACATAAATGAAGACGTTACAAATATCACCTGTTTTCTAGATGTGCAACCTCATTTCTGCAAATCCTGTTCTGCTGCCTTGAATTAGAAAAGTCTGTTTTGAAAGAACTGTTAAATGAATTGTCACAGCATTTTCACTGATTACTTGTTTGAAGAAAAGTTTGTTAAATTGAAAACAGTTTTCCTCATAGAACATGTGAAGAAATTTCAAAGGACAAATGTCTACTTTATGAAATGTCAGTTGAAAATAAACACTTTTGTTCAATATATGGGCTGAAAAAATTTTAGGCAAAATACTAAACAGAATATTAGTAAGAGTAAACTTTGCAACATATTGTGTTAGGAATGCATTAAAACATTTAAATAAAGTAAAAACTATTAACATTTCAGCTACATAATAGAGAAAAATTATAAATAATCCTGTGTAATTAGAAATCCTCTTTTATTTCCAAATATTTTCACTGATAAAGCCTTTTTGAGTTTTGAAAAAATACTACGTTACTGCATATTCAGGAAGCCTTTTCCTTTAGCTGTCTCCTTGGAGAGCTTCCTCGCCTCACCTGGGACCTCAGTGCAGCCTTTTCCGGTTGCCTTGCTGCTCTATCACTCGCAGCGCTTTTATAATTTATTCCTCCCCTCCTTGCCTTTTGAATTACAATCTCCATGAGAGCCTGAATTTTTTATTCACAGTTAAATCCCTATCACTTGTAAAATGCCTGGTGTAGAGTCAATATTCAATTTCTTGAATACATAATAACTGACACTCGTCAGGCACTGCTCTAAGCACTTGACATATCTTAACTCATGTAATCTTCAGATAGTCTTCTTGAGGTAAGTACTTTTTATATCCTCAATTTATGATGAAGATGTGAGGTGCAGCAAGGTTTAATGACTTGCTCCAGGTTACAGGTTACTGTATTAGGAAGCCGAGAGCTGGGATATAAACCATGCATTTTGGACTTGAACCTACACAGTCCAACTCCAAGATTTGCTCTATTAATCAATATATTACACCTTTTCTCGTGAATTGATGAATATATATCATTCTTGTAACCTCAGTTTTTAATGGGCCAAAGGAAAGATTTTAGTGTTATTTCCAATTTATTTAAACCACTCATTTATTTTAATATATTTGTTGAAACCCTTTCTAGTGCTATGTGATGTGGAAGAGCTGAAGTGGAGGAAAAAATCCTGACAATTCTTGACATCAAGTCAATGCACATTTAATTTCCACTATGGTTTAGATCAGTGGTTCTCAACTGGGGGCAATCTCATCCCCCAGGGAATATTTGGCAACGTCTAGAGAGGTTTTTGGTTGTCAGGATTGAGGAGGAATACTGCTAAATAGCCCACAATACACAGGACAGCCTCTTACTTATCTAGTTCCAAATGTCAACAGTGACCAGGCTTATAAATGCTGATCTAGATTCCATAATATGTACTAGGGAGCAAAGAAGAAACAGATATTTTATATCTTCTGTCCTCAGTGAAGGTCACAAATGTTTAGTATTTCTCAACGATGTGAGTTAATGAGGGTCAGACTATATGTTCTCTACCTCTATGTTTAGCACAGAGGGAGTGACAAATTACCTAGAGCAGGTTAGGGAGGGTCAGGGTGATTTCACTTGAAAGAGGAGAACTTTTTGTCTGGGTTTGAAGGACAAGTAAGATTTTGGTGGGTCTTTCATTCCAAACTTACTAATCATAATGAAAGCTAATTCATCCGAGAGGCACAAGTAAAACACCCAACAATCAGAGTGGGGAAAGATCATTTGTGGAACATGACCAAGGTTAACCTTGGCGGAGAAGAAGGGATTTGAATCAGGTCCTGAAGGTTGGGTAGGATTTTGACATGGAATATCTAATAAAAAACTAAATGGGATAGAGAAAGAGCTATATACATTTTGTAACTGAATTTGTGCTCACCACGCATTTGGGGAAATGCATACTCTAAAACAGCATGTTCTAGTGAAGGTAGTCCAACACTATTTGAGTTGAGTTCAGTTGCCTGCTTGTTGTGAATTCTCCCAAGTATTTAAAATCTTAGAATATTGTCAAATTGTGAATTACTTTTCAGTGTGCCTGGTAATATCTAAACGAGCACATTTACTCTTCCTTTAGGAATCTAAACTACAGAAAACAGTATTTAATACATATCCAACTTTAGGCGAATATTTAAACTTCCTCTAAGCAGCCATAGAAATAGACTTTTTCTCACTCATGTGGATAGTTTGGAGCAATACCCTTTGCGACTGATGTCTTCAACCTTCAAACCTCTGCCCTTTCCATATCTCAACCAAAATAGGGTTATGGCCCGAAATTGTGCAGATTTACGCCACTCTCTTGGAGGGAGCAAGTGGCAGTGAGCAAACTGTGGATCCTAACACAGGTCTGTGCCAAAGAAAGAGGACACATTTTTCTAATTTTTAAGGGTATTTCTATGAGCTAGTGGTGGTCCTGTCTCAATTCCATCAGAAACCCTTCTGAATTTTTCCCCTAGTTATCTCTCTGAAACTGCAGCATCTCCCGGATGCTGGTGCTGCATTGCTGTCTTCCAGAAACCCATGGACCATGCCTTTGCCTGGGCAACTGATCTAGCTTGTTTTAACCCCACTTCCATATAAAACAATTCCTTTCCAGTTTTGATGGGGTTTGCCATCTTTTTGTATTTTTCTAGTCTTCTATTGTTAGAGTTGCTTTCTATGACCACTGATTTTACTCAGAGCCCCACACCCCCTTCCCAGCTCCTTAGTTGTTCAACTTTCCTCACTGATACTTTCCTGAATTATCATGGAACACAAACTGTAGGAACTTGGGTAAGAATCTTATCCTTTTTGAACTTGTTTTCTTATCTGAAAAACTTGTGAAAGTGAATGAGAATGAAATTATTCAGCACAGTGCCTAATAAAGAGATGTTGCTTATCAAAATGTTAGTTTCCTTTCCTTTTATTTTGTGTTGAAGAAATAAAACTGTAACCCAATATTTTTCTTTTGCTGTTTTCCTTACTCCTTGGGCCATTTCAGTTCTGTACAGACCTTAATGCAAAACTCACCATAAACTTGGCTTTCACCAGATTTTACATGACACAAGGTATATTATTTTCCTAGCTTTACTGAAATGTTATAGTAGATTGGAATATTGTTCAGCAAGTATTCACTTTCTTCTTCCTGACCATTTTCCCTTTCTCACTGACTTGGCTTGCCTGTGTGACTTCCATGGGTGGAAGTGACACTTGGCTTTTTTTTCGCAGAAGCCCATCACCCTCTTGCACTCTTACACAATCCTCCTTGAGAACAGCATGCCTACTTAGATAGCAGCTACTCCTTCAGCCTGGGTCTCAACATGACATAGTGCAGATCTGAACTTAAGCCTAGCTGATACCAGGAATCCAGCCAGGCCCAGCAGAGCCACAGCCAACACTCATGAGTAAGAAATAATTGTTTATTGTTTAAACCACTGAGACTCTGGGATTGTTTATTGTCCCAGCAAAAAGTTAAATAATAGAAAAATCACGGGTAAGAAAGTCACAACAGGTAGCTCCTGGCTATTTCATTAACACAGTTCCCCAGGACATATACCCAGTGTCCTATTCCTGGATTCCATATCTTTCCCCTCCAGTAATAGTCCCATAGCAGCTCACTGGTACGCTCTCATTGGTCTCTTTTATTATGCGAAATTGTTTTTCTCTTGCCAGTGAAACTTGCAAGAGACTCTCATTAGATCCAGAGTATGTATCTCACTTGCAGTTGCTTACCTAAGTAAATTCTCAAGAAATCAGGCCTTTCTCCATGAATAATTACTTTACCAGCTGCAGAGAAAAAGTTTTCATCATGTGTTGTATAAGATGAGTGCTTTTATCCTCCAGTCTTTTCTGAGATGTAAGTGAATCTTACTCAAGTTTAGGTAATCACTTTCTTGCTTTAAAAGAAATACCTGATATTTCTTTCCTAAGAAGTTGTATTAGTTTGCTTTTGTTGCTGTAACGAAATTACCACACAGTGGCTCAAAACAACAATTTTTTTTTTTTTTTTTTTTTTATCTTAGAGGTCTGAAGGTCAGAAGTCCAAGATGGGTCTCACAGGTCTAAAATCCAGATGTCAACAAAATGCATTTCCTTCTGGAGGCTCTAGGGAGGAGTCTGTTTCCTTGTCTTTCCTAGCTTCTAGATGCTGCCCACATTCCTTGGCTCATGACTCCTGGAAATAAATTACTCTGACCTCTGCTTCTATCCTCACATCTCTTTCTCTGACTCTCCTGCCTCCCCTTTGCACATATAACGAGCCTTATATTTACATCGGGTCTTTGTCTGTGAATAGGTACTTTTTGATGATAGCCATTCTAATAGGTACAAGGTGATATCTCATTATGGTTTTGATTTATATTTCCCTGATGCTTAGTGATGTCGTGTACCTTTTCGTGTACCTGTGGGCCATTTGTATTTCTTCTTAAAACTGTCTGTTTAGTTCCTTAGCCCACTTTTTAATTGGGTTGTTATCTTTTTTGCTCCTGAGTTGTATGAGTTATTTATATATTTTGGAAATTATTACTTTATTAGATATATGATTTGCAAATATATCACCCCATTTCATAGGTTGCCTTTTCATTTTGATGATTGTTTCCTTTGCTATGCACAAGCTTTTTAGTTTGATGTAGTCCCATTTATTTACTTATTTGCATGAATACCTAAAATATCAACACTATTGACTTATTGTCATTTTTATTGCATGTCATTTTTATTGCATGTAACAGAGATGATTTTTAATTTGGTTTAATGGAGTTTAGGTTGGTGATTCCCTGTAGTAATCAACTCTACCCCCAATAATAAACTTACCATTCACTGAACTATCATGTTATTTGAATATGCTCTCTTTATATGATCATTACTGTTTCCCCTCCAGACATAGTTATTACTTATACGTGATTACAGTGTTTTTAAATCTAGACTGCTTTACTCACAGAACTACTTAGGCACATTTCCATTTTATTTATTCCCGTTTCATTGATGAATAATTGTGAACCATTTGTTTAGTCCCTACAGCTCAGAAACATTTCTTCTACATTACCTTCTATTTATTTTCGCTTTGTTTTTGAATAATAAATAATTAAAAAGGAAGAGAAATTTGGAAGAATTTTTGTCCTGAATAGAAATTTAAGGTGATTTTAAGACATTTTATTTATTTAAGACATGCTTCATCTGTGGGGGGGAAAAAAAACTATAACACAATCTATAATTCTATAAAATCTTTTCCATTGTCAGTCTCCTTGTGTAATTGTTTGCCATCTAGTGGACAATCTAAGTACTGCTCAGCTTTGTAAAATAGGATTCTATGTAGGATATATAAAGATAGAGATGGAAACTGATTCTGAGATATTCTGGGGCAATGTGTGTTTTTCACTAATGTGCATCAGTTCAGGTTACATAGGATAAAAAAATACTTAATCTTTCTTTTGTCTTTATAGGCTAATATTTTATAGATGTGTACCCTTATCATAGGAAAAAAACATATTGTTCTTATTACTGACAATACTCAGGAACTGAAGATGAAAAACTAATTTATATAAAAGGAAGCAACAATTGTAGCAATTGTTTAAACGAGCAAGTACGAGTTGGGGATAAGAGGTGAAGCAGTAGATAGGATAGTAATGAGGAGAACAAGGAGTCTAATGAGAGGCAGAGAAGGGGAGAGGGAGAAGGATACATGGAGAGAAAAAATATGTGGGGATCAATTTAGGTATGAGGAAATAACCTGAATAGACAGAAAGAAGAAATGGTGAAGAAAAAATGGGGAGGCTTGGACAAAGAGAAAACTAGATAAAATCATTAAAAATACGTCCAAGAGAAAAGAGAAAAGGGATTAAAAATGAATAGAGAAAGAATAGAAATGGTACTTTATTTTGCAATGTGTGTCAGATACCTAAAAGCATCACTTCTCTCATTTTGTCAACAAGATTCCAAGAAAGTGCCCACCAGATCTTACTTCCTGATTACTATCATCAATAGGTAGACCTAGATTACACATGAATGTGGATTGATTTTCTCCTTTTACATTTTTCGTATTTAGAATTTTCATAATGCAGGGAAATAGTGAGTGGAGTTGTTGTTCTTTTACTAGGAACTATTACTTCACTTAGTATTTTGTTGGAATATTCAACCAGTAGGGACATACAAGTGGAATCTAGGATACCTGATTGCCTTGCGCTATTAAGGCAATTGAGGGTGCTAGAGAATAATGTTAATCCATGTACACTTTAGAAGTCTGTTATTCACAAAGAGTTTCAGCCAAGTACTTATTAATTTTTCATTATATGTCCAGTAAGATTTTTGAGTTAACTAGAGAGATTACAGATTGAAAATCTCTTATCCTTCTTCTTTAAGAAATTATGTTTTAGTTTATATGAGTCTCCATGCCTTGTGTGATAGGCAGAATTACAAAATGACCTCCAGTAACCCATGCCTTGAATGTGGAAGGAACCTGTGAATATGATGAGATATCATTCCTGTGGTTATGTTATCTTAAGTGACAAAAGGGAGATTATCCTATTTGGGCCTGATCTGATCACATGAGTCTTTTAAATCTAGATCTAGAAGTTAGACAAGAAGTTAGAGATGTAAGTATGAGAGAGATTTGAAGAGAGAGAAATTCTCCTGCTGGTTTTGAAGATGAAGGGGACCATGTAGCAAGAACACAAAAATGGCCCCTAGGAGCTGAGGGCATCCCTTAACCAAGAGCTAGTAAGAAAAAGGAGAACTTAATCTTGCAGATACAAACCACTGAATTCTTCTAGCACCTATATGATCTTGTAAGCGACACCTGAGGACCAAATGAGAATGCAACTTGTGGGTATCTTACTGTGGAGAAGATGTAGAAGTATGCTATTATAAGGATCTTATGCTACATGTGAAGTGGTATAATATTATTGGAAGATAGGCTGTGATCAGGTTTGTGTGTGTGTGTGTGTGTGTGTGTGTGTGTGTGTGTGTGTATTAAATCCAAGAGCAACCACAAAGTTAAAAATAAAATAGATATAACTAATAAGTCAATAGTAGAGATGAAATGGAACCAAACTATTTAAAATATATTTAGTTACTCCAAAAAAAATTGGGAAGGAATGGAAAAGCCAGAAAAGTGGGGATAAATAGAAAACAAATAACACATGGCAGAATGAAATTCAAACATATCAATAATTCATTAAATGTAAATGATCTAAACACTCCATTAAAAGGCAGATACTGTCAATATCAGATAAAAAAGCAAAATCCAATTCTATATTCTCTATAAAACACCCACTTTAAAACAAGGATAACGGAGGATAAAAAATAAAACAAGAAATGATATGCCATATACACACTAATCAAAGAAATTACATTAGTTATATTAATATTAGATTAGGAAGATTCAGAACAAGAAATATTACCAGAGATAAAGAGGGACATTGCATAACGACATAGGTTTCATATTTAATGAAGAATATATCCAACCCTAAATATGTATGTATATGATAACAGCTTCAAAATACATTAAGTAAAACTGATACAACTAAAAGGAGAGACAAATCTACAATTACAGTTTCAAACGTCAATACTTTTTTTTCAGTAATTCGTGTGATCAGGTTTGTGATCAAGCAAAAACATCAACAAGGATTTAGAAACACTATCACCCAATTCGACATGATTTGCATTTATAGAACACTCCACATGCAATAGCACTTTTTTTCCCCCAAGTGCA